CGATATTATCCACATGATATCTATCTACATAAAACGATAATACAGTTCAATAAAAGGACTGATAAATTATATGTTGAACGAAACATGTTTGTCTAGTTGCCGCATTAAATCCACTTTCTGATTTTTTCTGATTTTGATAGGGAAATTTTCTGATTTTGAATTTTTTCATCTGGCCACCCTGGTGAGAGGTGTCGAGAACTTTAAAAAAGTAGGTGTCGTTAGAATTTTTGCTATAATTCCGCCATTTCTCGTTCCAGTTTTTCGAGCGGCATCTCGTGTGAAAGCCCATCGAAAACTGAACAAAATTCATTGCTTTTGAATTTTTTTGAGTCAGACTATCGTGGAAAAAAATCCATCTTTGAAAACTTTTGCGCTTTTCGAACAGCAGTGTTTTAAGTCCAAGCCTTTTTTGAGATGCCAAAGTGATCGTTATAAAAACAAAAAACAATAGAGATTGTAGAGAATTGAAAGCGCTACAAAACGTGCGTATTCGTTTTTCTCAAAAAGCATGCATCGAAAAATCGGCAACAATAGAAAAATTACACATTTTCCAATATTCTTATTTCAGAGGAAAAAGCTTTTTTAATGAAGGAAAAGTCTATTTTTGCACATAGAATGTGTTTTTTTAGAATGTGTCATAGCAATGAATATTGTTCAGTTTTCGATGGGCTTTCACACGAGATGTCGCTCGAAAAACTGGAACGAGAAATGACGGAATTATAGCAAAAATCCTAACGACACCTCTCACTTTGAAAATTCATAACTCGGTGAGATCAAGTCCAAATGACTTTTAAAATATTTTCTAGGCGTAGTTTGATACGTAGAATCCAAATATGTAATAAAAAATAGGGGACAAGTGTGACCATGTTATAGCTATTCTCGCTGGGCTGACAAAACCTCGCTTAACAACAAGAAATAGAAAACTATAACTCACTTTAGCTTGTTCTTGTATGAGAGATGAGAGAACGCCAGCTCTGACTAATATCTCTGTTGAAAGTTTCTTGATTTGAGTAGGATCATTAGCTATCGTACTATAAATAGTTACTTTCAGATTAGAGTAAGTAGCATCCAGATACTCTAATGATTTCTGTGTGTATGCGTCTTTTATTTCGTTGGCTAAAGACTTGTTTTCGTTTAGTATAGATTTGCTACTTTTGCCTACGCACCGACGATGAAGTTCGTATTTAATGGACTTTTTTGTTTTCTCTTTATTGCTCGGCAAGTTAAACATGGCCAAGAGCTCGTCAGTCGATAAGTTCCCAAAGTAGGGCATTTCACAGGAAGACGACGATGTTGTCGCCTGTAGAATATCTGGTGCTGCCTTCGATGTGAAATAACAATTGGTTACTGGAGTTGCTGAAGCTGTAACAATAAACGGTAGCTGTTGATGTCTTTTGTTACCTATACGTTTTACTTCAGCTAAAGTGTTCTGATGAAGAGGAGGAAGATGAGGTGGAGCAGCAGCTGTTAGCCCATGTCCACTAGCAGACGAGGGACGCTCATATTCAATAATTGTGGACGCAGTTGGTAGATCAGGAGGTGAGTGTGTTTCAACGACTTTCAAATATTTTTCCATGCTCTCGATGAACTTTTCTACGTTGGACCTGGCTTCGGTTGTCCGCGCTATGCGTGCTGTTACTTTTAGTTCATTAATCATCACGTTTAACTCATCAACAAGATTAAAACCACGACAGATAACTTTCACTTCATCACATAATTGTTGCACTTCTGTATTTTTCTGATCCAATGCAGCTTCCAACATGACTTTCGTAGTTTGAATAGTCTGTAGGCTCTGCTCAGCTTGAAAGCGATTGTTAGTTGCGTCGTCGTATTTGTCTTTCACTTCCTGTAGAATTTGTTCAACAGGATTCAATACCCTTTCAACATCTCGGTAATCGTGATAGTGAAGACTATAGTGACACTTGTGTTTACACTCAACACAGTATTCATCCCATATAGCTGAGCAATTTAAAAATGTATCTTGATTAGTCGACGGAGCTTGCTCTAACCCGCAATTTCTATGACAAATTGCATCACATCTTAAGCACAACGTGCTCAACTCTTCGGAGGGTACGAGCACAATCTCTTCAATAAAAGCTGTTGTCTTGTAAGCGCTATAAGCGATCTCGTCATTTCGGAAATTGTTGATGCCTTAAGCAGATAAAAGGACAGACAGAGCTGATTTGAGCAAGATCTTTGACTATTGGCGTAGCACTTTGATGGTTATGACACGGTTACGCTTATGACACCGTTCGAACGGTTATGACACGGTTACAGCTATGACACGGTTACAGTTATGACACGGTCACCGTTAACCATAACCGGTGCATGCCTAACAAAAACCCGGCATTTTTAACACTTTGGGCTCTTACCTTTTTCTAGTTCAGTAATTTTCTCTTGCAGCTTCTGTATTTGCTCAATATCCAGTCTGGCTTGATGCATTTTGGCTTTAATATCATCTCGTTTGTTTCTTAGTTCTACGAAACTACCGCTGTGTGCCGTTTGAAATGTATCGATAAGACTAAGCATTCGTCTAATTTCTAGCATGGACCCATCCCAATCACTTTGTATTGCTCGGCGTGCTTGGCTCCATTTTTCAGGACCCAGTGAAAATGCAGAATTCTGCATATAGAATGGATAGAGTTGAGCTGAAAGCTTTAGTTTTGTCAAGTCGAAGCTCAACAAATATTTCTGTATATTGGTAAGCACGATAATTGTGTTGTCGAGGATTGCATTGGGAATAAACCCTTTCAAACGTGTTAAAAGGCTTTTCACAGCCAGAGTTTCTCTAGTGATCGTGCCGTTTATTACAATAATGAGACACGCTATACTTCCTAAATTCACAGCCGACTGTACAATGTTTCCTATATTCTTCTCATCTTGACTTTGGTAGAAAGCAGCAGTATTCTTCTGATGATCTTCGACGTTGCGTGTGTCGTTGAGGCCGGGAGTGTCGATAAATAGATAGTGTCTAGATGTGGCGGAGTCTGTGAAAAGATACTGATTACAATGATCGGTCATTGATTCAGTAACATTATCTAGGTTTCTTTCTGAATGTTTAAATCCTTCTGTGGATATGCGATGATGCTTTGAGGGAATAGCTATTTTCAGTGAGTCAAGTGTTCCATGATTAAAATAGTTCGTTAGATAATTAATAAGAGTTGATTTGCCGGAACCTGTTTCACCTACCAATAAAATTTTGGCGGCTGCATCTCTCCTCCTTCTTTCCCCTTCATTTTCAATGTTAGTGTCATTAATTGTAAGGCTTTTGACGACTGACGGAGATGTATAAGATCGGAAACGTCTAAATCAGAAAAGAAAGTTGATCAGATTTAGTCCGACAGATGAAATCTATTTGTGTACTTACCTTCGACGGCTGTCGGACATGTGTCACCAAAATGCTCCTTTTCTATCTAGTAAAAAGAGTTCAGATTTAAAGAAGAGTAATTCAGAAACAGAGAGAGCGAACTAAATACTAAGAAAACATGTAAAGAATTGTCCTGTACGATTAAAAGATGGCTGTTCTGAAGCCCGTACTGAAGATTATTCAAACTGATAAAGAACATAACTTTGCTTTTCTTTTTTTTACACAGTGGTTTTCCAACCCGAAAGCAGATCTTTTGATCTTTTACGAATTCCTTTTGCAAACTCAAAAAATGTTTATTTACACAGTAGCCCGGTAAAACCGAATTTGTTAGATTGAAGGTTTTCCAAATTTCGTAGAAAAAAAGAAAACTAGTAAAGGTATGCTGTCTGTCATTTTGTCAACATACTCAGTTTGCAGCTAGAGATAGAATTTGCTGGGTCTTTTAATACAAACATTTGCGAAGAAGTCAGTTGTAGAGCTAAAAAATTGGTTTAACAGCAGCAAGCATAGGTGTTAATTAAGCAAGCACAGAGTGACTAACGCAAATAAAATACAATATCTGTTAGAAGGGCTGGTTAAAATTTCGACAATTCACGTGCTCCTGTGAGCAGAAGTTCCTTATTCTGTTCACTGCAAAGTCTAAACCATTGTAGCAATTGTGATTCTTCTTCAGTCAGCTCTTGTACAGATAACTGACGGTTGAAACGTTCACTCGTAGCTTCTTGAAATCGTTGTTCGACGGTATCTTGAAATTCTTGTCGAATCTGCTTTTCAGTTCTTGCACCTTCATTCACAATTTTTGTCGGACCTGTAGCTTCAACTGACGGCTGTCTTGCTAGTTTTTCATTAGTCATCATCTCAGTTTTTTTCTGCGTACTAGCACCGTTGAGAGCATTCTGCGACTCAGTTCCTTTTCTCGGTTTTGTCTGGGATGTTACGGTGGTCATAACAGTCGTATTTTTCAATGGGGCTGTTTTGTTCAGAATGACAGACTTCTTACGTGTGTGCTGCGTTGTGTCTTCAGTAGTGAGAGATTCAACTGGAGTTGCCAAAGATGAAGTGGTTTTTTGATGTTGGCTGATACGACTACACATGTCAGTAACCAGTGTCAGGAAAGCACGTGCTTTCGTTCTAACTTTTTCGGATTTGAAATTTGAAATATCGCCTTCTAAAAATTTAAGCAATGTGTATAATTCATCGACCACATTGAAGCCGGAACACATATCTACTAATCTCAAGCAGTAATTTTCAATTGTTTTCAGTTGATCGTGTAGATTTTCCGTGATTTTTAGCTGCTGTTGTTGAATGTTGTACGCTTGATCACTTGATACTTTCGAATTCCAATAATCGAACATACCTCGACTACACGGTACAATTAACTTTCTACCATGGTAGTGTAGCTTATATGAGCATCGAGGGTTACAGACTGTACAGGTACCATTCAGAAACACTTTACAGCATTTTAAATTTTCCGAACCAGTTACTCTACTTTCGTCTAACTGACAATGGTCATGGCACACTTGATGACATTTGGAGCAGATAGTGTTGTGATAATCGACATGAGTTATTTCAAAAAATTGATATTTTGCTTCATTCCTTTTTGTTGACATGCAAGTTTCTAATGCATCGTCCAAACTCTGTAATTGCATGATGATTAATCGTGATTCGTGCAATAGGCTAATCAAATCGTTTCGTTGTTCATTCATGTCGTTAAACGAGACTGTTGTAATTGGTGCAGTGTTCAACAACAATTCTACGATAGAATTAATGGTATCCATTGAATTTTCCCAATCAATTTGTAAGAGACGTCGAGCAATTGGTGTCCAACAAGACGGATCAGTTGAAAATGCTGAATTTTGCATCACTAACACGTGAACATCGGCTGATAATCCGATTGATTCGGGTTTAAAATTCACCTGGTGTTTGTTGCAATTTGTTAATATAACGAATATATTTTGTAAAACGGCATTTGGCAGTTGGTGTCGAAATTTACCTAAGACATACTCAACATTGATTGTTAAACGAGGTTTCGTGCCGTTAATAACCAAGACTATTGCTGATAACTCGTGCATGTTTCGTACCATTTCAAATATATCACGGATATTCTGTCCATCCTGTTCTAAACCTCTAGTATCTCCGATACCTGGCGTATCGATAAAGGAAAAGTTGTAACCTTGATGTTCAAAGTTGTACGGTGTACAGTCAGTTGTTTTACTTTCTGATTTATCGTAAAGTTTATTTTCGTTGGAATGGTACTGCTCTTCGGTCTGCAGATGATGTTCAGACGGTATGGCGATTTTAAAGTGGTCGAATGTGCCATAAAGAAAGTAATTGGTCAAATAGTTAATAAAAGTGCTTTTTCCTTGTTAAAAGAAAAACGCTGTTATGAAAATGTGCAAAACCACTTCAGATGTACTTACCACTACCACTGTCGCCTATTATAACAGTGTTTATGCTTTTTGCGGCACTCTCAGCATGTCTTGATGCCATGTATTCTCGTTTCCACGTGTATTCTACAATATGAAAACAACACTTAAGTCGACCGATTCTCTATGTTTTGTACACCGATCAAGTATTTGCCGTGAGGGTAAAGGGCGGTTTGTAAAGAATAAAATTAAACATTAAAAAACAGAAAAATGAGGAAAAAACAAAGGTGGAGGAGGATATATTTTTTAGAGTTGGGATTCATTACATCTATCGATCGATGCGAGACTGTTTCTCCTTCTTCACACAAGTCCACATCCTTAAGCGCTTTTCTTAAAGACACAGACTTTCTTGACATTCTTTCCAAGAGGCAGGTTTTTCCGTAAGAATCTTGAATGACTCATAGATTCTCATTTCTTAGCTATTAATCCATTTTGGTTTGTTGTTGACACTAATATACTAAGGGCGTTCCAAAAGTAATGGCAACATTAAATAAAAAACTAAAGAAGCAATTATATTTTTAAATTTTATTTAATAAATGTTCAAAGTAGTCTCCATTATTAGAAATACAAAGTTCCATC